GCGACCTTCCACTGCGGCCCCGTGGCGGATCCGGCACCCTTCATGCAGTTTTCCTTGCTACATTCGGGCTTAGATTTATAGGGTTCAGGTTTGGTGCCAGCGTCCAGGTTGCGTCAAAGAAGGCCCGTTACGAAAACGGTTTCGGGGTTTCTTAGTCCCATCGGCTGCTTGGATCTATTCTGAAGTATGATGTGGAGCTCGAACCTCCCCGTGTGTTGGGGGGGGGGGGGGGGGGGCTTGCTGCCCTCCACACACTGGGAGGTTGAAGTCGAGGCCATGGTGCCTGGATGCTTTGGAAATTCGGAACAGCAGCAACCTCTGGAAATCTGACGTAGTCTCTGGAAAGAGGGCGATCTTATGGATGAGACTTCCTTGAGTCGTGACCGACAGCTGCTACGTGTGAATGCTCCTGTGTGCAGTTCAACCTTCGCGTGCTGTGATGTGAGAGCTAATCTAGTTGCTGAGACAGCTACAAGACGACCCTGATTCAGAACTTCCTGTGGAACCCTCCAATTTATAGTTTGTTTCGCGATGTATGGCACCTCTGCCACATGCTGCTAAGTCGCAAACCTACTGTTCTCTCGACTGAACCCTGCAATGCGGGCTCGTCCTAACTAGGTGGGAGGCAAAAAAACCCTAACCACGATACTGTGAGTCTGATGTAGCCCCGAAGGATTCACCATTCACGGTTTCGGTCGTTGGGTGGAGGCGGTCGCAAGGTGTTGGGATTGAGGGTTTATACAGGGGTTGGGGTCACCCTGCAGGTGCAGGGAGTGTCTTGGCTAACCCCTTTTGGGATTTGGGATTTGGAACTATTTAGCTGTTCCTGCTGACCTCTGGTGTTTGCCGTCCTGGCCCTCTTTCCATTTCACTCGGACTCATTGCAATAGCAGGGTTGTAGAACTTTCGTATGTGGCCGATATTGGTTGCTGTACGACCACGAGAAATGAAACTCTTGACTTGAGCACGGCGCGTGCCTTGTGCTGTCGTCAACCGCTACGAGTAGGACGCTAGACAATGTTTCTGGCCGCGGTGGGGGTGATGAAGCAAAGACGGTCAGAAAGCGGTGGATGATGAGAACGATGATGGCAGGCATCCTTGTGCTGATAAGAGGAAATGATTTTTGAGATATTTTGTGACTGAAGAAAATTTCTAGCAATCCGTGGCGAACTCCGTTTCGTTGCTGTTCGGCTGCATGACCTTCTCTGACCGATTGCAGTAGCGTGCTTCTTGTAGTCAAGACATGCTATCTCGGTTCAGCCGCAGTCGTCGTCGTTCCTGGTTTGCCGAGTCAGCAGATGCCCGGCAAGCTGCGCTAGGTTGCCTGGAAACAGTTCAATCAGACATCCTGTGCCCTGCCTTCTAATATATATTATATTATATATGTATATATGTATATATGTATTAATACTATATATATATATATAAACTACTGTACCTCGCAAGAAGAAGCCGAGCTTCAAAGCATGCGCCCTGCACTCCGAGGCCCCCAACACCAGGCTCGCTGCACGGGGCCGTGCCAGAGCGTGGTAGAGAATTTGTATGGCTATTATCAGAACGCCTACTGCAATTCCTGGTAGTAGTACTGACGTTATCGACAGTTGCGACTTTCATCACTAGCAGTCCGGACTATGAACGGGACGTATTTAATTGTCAAGGTTACATGGTTGTTAGTTCAGTGCTATCATAGTTTGGTGCGTTGCCAGCAGGTGTGTCATTCACCTGCCACGCCTTGACTACTGGTTCTGGTCATGCTGGCATTGGTGGTAGCGCTATCACAGGTACGGCCATTCGGACATTTCTTTATGAATGCAATTCCCTGGTTGTTGTTAGCATGACTCCTTCGCGTTGGTGGCTGCAGGACTCCTGCAGCAATGGTGCTCCGTAAGAAGTTCAGTTGCAAGCCTACGTGTATGCCTGAAGGAGCGGGTGTGCTTCTCTTTCGCCCGAATTCTCCTTGTTTTCCGAGTACAAGACTCGGGGATTTGAGTGCAACACTTGTCTTGACTGGTGCTTCGGTGAGTTGCCGCGGCCGGCAACTAGGCTCACATGCCTTGTATTTTGGCTCCAGCTTGAAATGTTTCACTCGGCGAGTTAGTATATACTATGTACTATATACACTTATCAGCATCATGGTACGACAATGGTGCCAACAGTAAAAGTGCTGAGGCCATATATCTGTATATGGTATACCCGTGCGCGTGCATTGCCTGTGTGTCCAAATCAGACGTGCTTGTCTAACTACAAGATTTTTCACTCAAACAGTGATGTCTGAACAGGTCGCAACGAAACCGCCCGGAAACATGCCATACGCGGAGGAGGACAGATTAGTTTAAGCCGTTCGTCTCGAGCACGACGAGGGCAGGACAATTCCTGGCTATGTCGGCTGAGACATCTGGCATGGTGCAAGGAGGGCCTTTCGAGCTTTAGAAGTTTAGTGTGTAAAGGTTAGGGAAAATGTCTCTCGGCTTTGGATGCAGGACACAGATTTGAGGTCTGCTTGGCAGCGGAGGGGGAATTGGGACCTGTTTCGGAGGGGCGATACCCTTGCGGTGCATTTTTAATGTTGAGGTGTGGCAGGGTATAAAAAGCCTTCTGGAAATCACAACTGCCAGCTTGCAGTCGGAATGATCCGACGGATTCCTCGTGGTTCCGTCATGAACGTATCTACGCGGGCACATGCACACGCATCATACAACATCCGCAGCCCTCTCTCCTAGATTGAAGCAGGTCAATTTGTAGAGCTTTCTGCCAGGCTCTGCAGCCTCGTCGCCCAAGGGGCAGAAGTCCTCGCGACGAACGGAAGCCAGCCAAAGAATGAAGCAGCTTTGCCTGCCGGCCGCGTCAGATACGTGTAGCATGCAGGGGGCTGGGGTTTAGGGTTGAAGGTTTGGAGCAGCTTCCTAGGTCCTATGTTCTTTGTTCACATGGTTTGCCTGCTCTTCTTCAAAGAGTTTCCCAGCCTTGAAGCTCGTGGCAATCAGATCCTTCCACTCTGCAGCACAAGCCGCGAAGGTAGCTAACCATTTCTCTTCCGTTTTCAGACACGCCAGCGCTTAATACCCCTGGCACGGTCCCACAGCGATGTCTTGGCGGCAGAGGCGTTGTGCATCCGATCATCCGGTGCTACAGTAGTGCTTCTCATCCTGCCTGCTGTCATCTGCGACCCACAAAATCGCTAACGAAAACTTATGGAATCCGGAGTTCAGACGTTCCCAAAATTCAAGCTGCAGGTTGAACGGAGTATTTGTTGTTCGGCTGTTTGGGGAAGAGCTTTGCAGAGGCCAGCACGGCGCTGTGGCAGCGGCTTCTCCTGCAGCCTTGAACCGCGTCCCTGTGCCGGGCCCAGGCATCTTGGTGCACTTCTGAAGCATGTGTCGAAGAAGGAAAGGAGCTAATAAGGTCCAAGACGGAAAGGGGGGCTTATAATAAGATCATGGATCTAATGGATTCGGTCGGGGGTATGTGTTTGCCGGTCTGGTGTGCGTCTCGTCTGTTTGGGCTGTGTTTGGGCTTTTGTTGGTTTCTTAATACTCAGTAGGTCGCATGGTAACTTTCAAACCCTTTCCTCTCTTTCAGGATCCCTACCAGAGACAACCCGGTTGCATGCTGCTAAGAGATCACGAAACACACGGAATAACGCCTTCCAAAACCACAACCACAATCCTGTCGTTCGAGCTGCCGGTGATTCTGTCGACGTCCGAGGATCATACACTACAACACCACGGACGGAAGAAATCACCAAGCCGGTCAACTGACTCTCGGCTTTGCTGAAGCGCTGTGATGGTTGACTCTGAAGCCATATCCGCTGGAGAAGTCGATGTCGTCCATTTCTGTGCGTACATGTGTATGTATGTATGTTTGTTTGTATGTTTGTACGTATGTACGTACGTACGTACGTATGTATGTATGTATATGTATGTATGTATGCACATACGTATTTGTTTGTGTCTGCGTGTGTGTGTGTGTGTCCGTGTGTGTCCGTGTGTGTCCGTGTGTGTCCGTGTGTGTCCGTGTGTGTCCGTGTGTGTCCGTGTGTGTGTGTGTGTGTGTGTGGGTGGGTGTGGGTGTGTGTGTGTGTGTTTGTGTGTGTGTGTGTGTTTGTGTGTGTGTGTGTGTTTGTGGGTGTGCGTGCGTGTGCGTGTGCGTGTGCGTGTGCGTGTGCGTGTGCGCGCGTGTTTGTGTGTACATAACGGACATAGCGACATGAAATTATCAAACATGTACCTTTGCTAGTGTGTGAAAAAGCCATACCCATGCAAATGTGTAGTCTCCTTACAGGTGCCGGGCGATTTGCTTATATTTTGGGTCCCCAACCCTTATGTTGAACACCGGGAGCCCTGAAGCCTTCAAGCCGCATTTGGTATCTCGGCATCACAGGTCGGCGAGCGGCAGAGGAAAGCATTTCACATGGTTGGGCTCATGGTGCAGGGAAGCTTACACCCTCACTGCCTCCCAACCCGAAATCCTGAACCCTAATCTAGTTGTGTAGGACCCCAGCAACACCGAGGCCGGGTGCTGATGGGGCGGCGGCCACGATTCCAGAAGGAGGGGGCGCTGCCTCCTGGATGTTTGTAATTAAATGCGACATAGGATTTGGAGGCGCAGAGTTGGGGTTCAGGTTGAGTCGGTATGCAAGTGTGCGAGGGCTTAACTTTAAGGTTAAAGGACTGCAAAATCCCACAGATGAGCGCGGAAGGCAAAAAGCCACGCGCATCCTAGAAGCTTTGAAAACCTGAAGCTTCAAGTCCCGGAACGTCAGGTCCCCAGTTCTGCAAGTTTCTGAGATCCGGTGTATCCAAGACGCCTCAAGTCCTAAAGCCCAAAGCTTCAAAGTCACGATCCGAACATGTAGAAAAGCACCGCACGAACTCTCCACACCTTTGAAAACTCCGCAGATCTCACGCCCAAATCGCACGTCCCACAAGCCCCCAGGCCTTCACGAGCTGAAGACCAAGAGACCAAGACTCTCAACTTTGCACACGTAGGGAAAGGTAGAAGGTTCAGTGTCAGCCCGTAATCCAGATTGGTTTATCAACCCCTGGACCTGCATGAAAAAAATTCTTTTTGAGGACCCTTAAACCCAGGAAAGTAATCCCCTGAGCCCCAGAACCATCGACGCCGGCATGGTCCGATTTTTGAAAACCCTCGAACCCGCATGGAGCCCATAAGGAATCCCTAAACCCCTACAGACCTTACGTGGACACTTTACTGCAGACCAGGGCCCTCCACAAAAAACCTAAGGAATCCTTAAACCCAGGTTCAACGCCGGCATCGAGTCGAATTTTCCAGGCCCAGGGGCGCGTCCTGGCATGGCTTTACAGATTCCTTTATGGGTTCCCTCACTTTACTGGCTACTATGAGGTTCAGGGTGCATGGTTTGGTTTTTTTTAGGCGGTTTGGGCTGTAGGGTTCACGCAGGGTCCAGAGCCCTATGATTTCAGTTGTGTTTACTTTGGATGCCCTTCTGTTCATGTGAGTTCTTAGTACTTCAGTTCTTGATGATGAGCCTGAGTTGTCAGGGGCCTGGCTCCTGGTGCCTCCATAGGCATCCCGTCACAGTAAGAAGTCAGAGTAGCATTGCACTTCATTCGTGACCCTGGCGCTGTTCGCTATCCGTTATGCTCTTGGCAGCACCACACACCGGCAGAGTTGAAACACTGTTGAAACCCAGCTCGAGCAGTCGAGCAGTGCCAACTTGCTGCGACTTGGATTTTTAGATTTCGAGTAGTTTCTTCCTGCCGATTCTGCTAACGTGGCTGGCCGTCCAGGTTCTGACACGTCATGGGTTAGTGTTCAAAAAAATTAGGGTTTTCGCTTTGCACTAGCAAGGGCACAGTACGTTACACGATCAGCTGCAATTCATCCCGAAGTTTCAAAAACACAACGTAGCACAACAGCCAAGATCTTATCCTAAAAGATCAGTACTTGAAACTGGTCAGAAACCCACAAAGGTACGAGGCAGACAAGATCATGAGCCTGGGAAGGTGCAAAGTCAGTTGCTCGGCAGACAAGACCAAGTGTGCCAGCCAGCAAGAAGAGTAGCATTAATTTTGATAATCATAGTGATGGTGGAGGAATATTGGGCTCAGTTTTGCTCAGCTGCAAGCCCTTCGCTGCTGCTCACGTCACCTTTAAGATGGCTCTGCTAGGTGTATATACATGAATGCATGATGCATGTATGTGTATATATACATGCTGTGTACATACATACATATACACACATACGGAAATGAATATACCTCTATATATATACATACATACATACTATTTATATATAAACCTGATATATCTATCTATCTATATTATTTATATATAGACCTGACGTTTGTGTATATACGAGGAGCACTTGTCTGAATACGCAGGTGTGTGCCCATGCTACGACTAGACTCTAGACAGTCTGTATGCAACTGGCTCCTGCGCGCTCGTGTGTACCGTCTGTCCCAGGCAAGGAGAAGGATCCACCAAGATGGACCATGGCGAAGAAGTCCATCATGGAGTTTGCAAAGACACACTGCTGAGGCTGGCAAGCTGGGAAGCGTAGCGGAACGGGAACATGGCTGGGCATCTTGCCAGCATCCTGCGATGTGCTGCCACGGAGCGATTGGCACTTGGCGGATATTGAGCCAGCTATACCTCATGCACCAGGAGGGCGGCATGATGCATCATGACCACGTCTCATCCTGTGACTCTCGCCAGAACTGGAATGAATATTCAATATTCCGTTGTGTTTCCCGACTTCTGCCTCCTTGGACCTGTCAGGCTTCGGCATCCCGGTTCGCGCGTGAGGGAGCTTCTGCATTAAAAGACGAGTCTTGCAGAGTGGGCGATCATGGCCTCCATCTTAATTAAGTCCATTGCTAGGGGCAGTTCATTCCTAGTGAGAGCCTGAATTAGGAGCCTAAAGGCCTAAAGGCCTGAACCGCACCTGCAGTTTCACTACTGAGCGGAACAGCCGCCTGCTAGGTGGGAGGGCCGACAGCTTCCGGCACGGCTAAAGTTGCTTGGTTCTGATGTTGAAGAAGTTACCATGCATCACGACGAAAGACGTCTGCACAGAGTTTACCGGCAGCTTCGTGCAGATTGACTCTGCGGGTGTTTGCATAAAGCTGTGTGTGTGTGTGTCTCTGTTTGTGTGTGTGTGTGTGTCTGAGTGTGTCTGTATGTGTGTGTATATATATCTGATGTAAACTGTATAATTACAAGACTACATGCTAGCACATGCTTGCAATGATATATGTTGAAGTCTGGCGATGTTCAAACGAAAGCTGCACATTGAAGTGTCGGTTTATGTGGACACAGACATCTGAAACATGACACGCTGCATGCATGAACACCGGCAGCTATACATGCACACATCAGGTGTGTCAAACTTCTTGCGTTTATGCTTACGGATATATAACAACTTAAGATCTTGGCAACGGACATGCAACCTCATATGTGTCAGCCTGGCAAGAAATTGCTCTTTGCCAGTATTCTCATGCGGGATAGCAGTGAATTGTCGTCGTGGTGTTGGTCGTAGTAGCAGTCGTCTCGTCGTTGTCGTCGTCGTAGTGGTAGTTGTAGTTGTAGTTGTAGTTGTAGTCGTTGTTGTTGTTGTTGCTGCTGTTGTTGCTGTTGTTGTAACAGTAACAGTTGCAGTTGTAGCAGTTGCAGTTACAGGTGCAGGTGCAGGTGCAGGTGCAGCAGCGGCAAGCAGCAGCAGCAGCAAGCAGCAAGCAGCAGCAGCAGCAGCAGTGATCGTAGCAGTCGTCGTTGTCATGGAGGTGTTGCTATTGCCAATATTTTTGTGAGACGCACATTCTCATTGTTGACATTTTTCGTATTATTGCCAGATGTAGGAGCAAGTGCATTAGCAACACCAATCGTAGCAGCAGTTTTTAACCAGCAGTAGTGATTTGGCCGCTGTTATGGCGACCAACCTGCTTCCTACTTGTACCGTAAGCCGACACCGAGTAGTAGTATTTGACCGATTGGTTCCGTCGCATCGACAGTTGCGGGGTTGAGCCAAATTCCACTGGCTAGCTGAAACGGCTTATGCCAGCCATGGTGCCGACCTAAGACCTAATACAAAGTACTGTGCAGAACCATGGCGAAGGCCATGTTTCGGTATTGTGTTACTGCCTGGAAGCTGCCAGCTCCGGTGGAACGAGCTTGGCATCCAGAAGGATCCACGAGACGTACAAGACAGCTTGGGCGCGAAGGGACATTCTACGATCTTTGTCAGAGGGTCGGTCTTGCCGGACAAAGCACTTGAGCCCCAGATTTTTTAGCCTTCTAAGCCCGATGTACCCTAAACTCTTTCAAGCCTTTCAAGCAATATAAAGGTGTCGATTCGTTTGGGGTCTGAGAGGTCGGCTGGACTTCTGGATCAATCAGAACAGGGCTAGAAATATTCTAAATCGTGGATCAGAGTACTGTCACACCTTGCACAGATCCTTGCAACACCGTGGGGGCTATAAAGGCCTAAGTGATTAGCAATAGCAATAGCATCCCTGATGGGCCCCAGATGATCCCAGATGTACTATCTCTGTCGAACCCTTTTACAACTAGTATCTAGTAAGGCCCCCCCAAAATAAAAACCCTGTATATAGATGCGTCAAAAAATCCACAAAAACCTCATTCCAATGCTTACTTCCACTGCTTCAAGAAAACCCATAGGAATCCCAAAGAGCAGGAGCCCTTCGAGCCCATGTGGGCTTGCACTGGTTTGCGGTGGGAAAAGAGCAGCAAGAATAATTACTTGGGTTTAGGGTTTAGGGTTTAGCATACTTAGGAATAACATCCCCTGAGAGCCTTCCATGATCACAGCTCCGTGGAGCACCTATAAGCTACAATTGTATAACCACCTCCTCAAAAACCGGCCCCAATAAAATAGGTGAATGTAGTACAACATGCCATAAGATCCGTTGTCTTCTCGGTTGAGGATCCCGGAAGGCTGACTACCCACCGCTTCAGAGAACCGTGCTGTAGAGCAAGCATCAGAAGGGCGTTGGAGGTTTGGCATTTTGGGGTTGAGGGTTCTCGGATTCGGAGCGTTTAGAGTGTAGAGCGTCAGGACGAAGGCGGAGACAATATGAATGTTGATATGAATACCCATAGGACCAGCAATAACATTGCCACACCAGAAACCCTGTATTCCTGTTCCAAGGGAACTGATGATGCTATCTCAGCTCAGCTTTGAGCACAAAGCTGGGAACCGGTCCTGGTAATGTGAGCTGCAAGGCACGGCGATGTGCGAGCTGTTTTAAGTAAGGTTTCCCCCTCAAGATACTTGATTTGAACCGCATGCTACAAAGGCGGATCCTTGGAAGCAGATGGGTTGTTTTCAACAATACGGGTACCCCATGTCCAATACATTCAGCTACTGGCTATGTTTTCCAAAGAGACGGTCATTGCCCCGTGGCCTGAATCTCAAAGTCAGCACCCCGAAACTCCCGACACTCCACAAACCTGGAGCCCTGTAAACTGCACACAAACCTGAGTAAGCGAACCTCTAAACCAATCTTATAAGCCCTGGTAACAACCGCACACCTTCCGGGGCGCCCCCAAAGAAGGCCCCCGACGTTGTCAGGTCGGTCAGGTCGGCGCCAGGACCCAGCACGTCCTTCAGCACGGCGCTGCAGGCCACGCAGAAAGCAGGACTTTCGGCCAGAAGTTGCCTGGGGGACTTTCCAAAGGTAGCCTTAAAACCCGGGTGATATCTTGAAACGGAGGCACCGAACTCTAAATCTTCCAAGCTAGTTACCCCCAAAATCTTAATGTCATGTGTGAAAAATCCAAGAGCTGGAATCGTAGCTCCAGGTATTTGCAGACCTTAACCCCTACAGATACCCTCGTTCGGGTTCGACGACCTTGGCCCGGGCTTTCAGGGACCAGGGTTCAGAATCCGCCGCAAATACAGCTGTTTCCTTGCTTCCGGCCACTACTTTACCCCCGCAAGTTTATGCTAGCGCACGGAGTACTGTCGTGCGTTTCTGCTGTTTTCGGGGTGTGCTCTTCCGGTCTTTGAGAGGGGGGGGGGG